AGACACGAGTTGCTCCGTTGAAGCCACTTTCGGTGCCGAGACTTGAGCTGATGGCAGCCATAGCTAAGTTCATAGGAAAGTAACTCCATACAAATTATCCGGCGGATCTTCTGGTGCGATTCGACGGATGTACTATATTTTATTAGGTCTGACGCCAGAAAATTCATCCAATTTGTTGCTGTGCGGATTGGTGAAATTCTCGAGGATTCACAAATCAACGAGTGGCGCTGAGGAGTCTGCTTTAAAAGCTTCAAAAAATCGATTTTTTATGCTTAAATTTAAAAATTATCTAAGAATATGTCTCCAAAGTTATAGATGGGAATTCGAAATATTGTCAAAGCTAGAAAGGAAATAGTGACCGAGCGTCTAGCAGATATATGAGTGCTTGGACAGAAAGCAAAAACTTTGTTTCGCGATTTCTCGGACCTTCATTTTTACGATTTTTCTTAATTGGCGGGCATGATAGAAAAAAATYTAACGTCGGATGGAATTGGTACAAAGTTTAATAAGCTTGACATTAAATTATCTTCTATTTAAGCTAAAAAAAAGTCACGTTTCAACATATTTTTAAACAAAGTAAAAAATTTATCGGCCAAAAACCCTTTTTTTAATTTAAAAAAAAAAAGATAGAATTTTACACTTTTATTTTGGAATTTTCTTAGTTTAACTAAAAGGTAAGTTAACAAATATGAATCTCTTTGAATTTCTTGTTTCCGGTAGAAATTTCGACCTGCATCCTGCTTACCATCCGACAAATGCACATACGAGATGAATGGGGCAATTGCTTTCCAAAGGCAGAATATCAAAAATTTACCGTGGACAATAGCCAGCATAGACGCTGTACTATGTCAATGTCGTCGTATAACTCCACTCATTAGTTTGCCAGTTATCTTTTAAGAAATCCCGAAAACCAAACGTTAAAAACGGATCACTCTTCACCGCGTTAATGCTACCTCTCACACATCGACTGAATCAATTCCATTTTTAAACATTCAAAACATCGGGTCGAATTTGTTTTGATGTCTTCAATTGAGTCGAAGCGTGTTCCCCGAAGTAGATATGTGGAGAAAAGTAAAAGTCACAGGGGGCCATATCAGGTGAATACAGTGCATGCTCAATAATATTTGTTGAGTGTTTGGCGAAAATTTAACACAAATACATTGATTTAAATTTTAAAATTCGACAAACACTGCTGATTTCGACTGACAGCTGCTGTAAACACACTGGTTGACAGATCGGGCTAATTTTAAGGACAGTTGTAACAACCTAAAAAAAAACTTATCCGTCTTCCATATAAGCGGGAGATGAGAGGTTGAAATGAAGAATTCCCGATACTTTCTAAGACGTTTTCCGACATCTGAAAAGGCAAAAGTGCAATTGGTTCAAACGCATGCAGAAGGATGTAGATCTCAATCGAGAACATTTTGAAAAACAATAACGTGATTTTCGGTGGTTAGAATATGTTTTTATTCGCGAATCCCGAAACAAAAGGCAACCTATACCGATAAATTATTGTAATTTCACAGCTCCTTGTGAGCTTTGGCCCTGGAATGTCATCCAATATTTTATCTGCCTCTATTGCATAAGCAAATTTCACTAAAATTGTTCTTCATTAAATTTATTTTATATTATTTATTATTAAATCAATATCTCATTTTATTCAAAACGAAGCATGTAGAATTTTGGTAAAATATATATAGAGTTTATTATGGATTTGTAACATACATTTAAAATATTTGAAATTTAATTTACTTTTTAGTGCAATGTCTGTGAGAATAGATGCCATTGGAGATAACATTAGAAAGAGATCATCTTCCGTTACAGAAGCATCTAAGCCGATGAGTTTTATGGATACAGGAAGCCTTCGCGCGGAAAATAAAATTTCTAATATGAATCAGACAGGTAAATTATGTCTTCAGTTGATTTTTAACGTTAATGGTATAACATGAAAAATATGACTTAAAAAAGATTATATACGTTCATATATCATTAAGCATATTTAACGGGTAAGTTAATAAGCATAATAGTCATATTTGTTTTGCGAAACAGCTACCACTTAGTGTAAGAATAGATGTATAGAAAACTATAGATGGATTCGTTACAGCGAATGGTAGACTTTGTAGGCAAGTCAATCACCAAAGTACAAGTTTCAGGATCCTAGACGGTGCAACGATCAACGAAAAGTTCAAACAAACAAGAATTCAAAATAAATATTAATTTAAAAAATAAAAGTTCAAACAGTTCTTTAAATCAATATTTTTATATTGATACCTCTTATTTAGTTCTGGTTCTTTCTATGCTATATACCTAGCGGTAAGGCTGAGCTCAGGCTACTACCGGGGTCACAGCTGGCGGATAGTGGACGGCCTACGCTAAGTAGGTTAGCTGCGAATAGTAATACGCAGCCCCCG